GTCCATAAATCCAAGCCCCGCGTCAGGCTCTGTGCTGACAGTTCAGAGCCTGGAGGCCTGCTTTGGATTCTATGCCTTCCTCTCTCTGTGCCCCTCTCCCACTTGCAGTCTATGTATCTCTGTCAAAAACAAATATACATTAATAAAATTTTTTTACAAGATGTATTAAAAGTATACCTAATAAATAAAATGAGGGAGAGGGAATTTATAGATGAAAAGAGAATTAAAAGGAAAATCAACTGATCACAAAGTATGGTTATTTTCAATCCTGATTTGAACAATCAGGCAAAGGAAGTTATGAGACATCAGGAAAATCTAAATATTGACAGGATATTTGATGACATTAGGAATTATTTTTAATCTTTAAGGTGCAATTATTGTAGTTATTTTAAGGTAATTATCAACGTTTAGAGACATACACTGAAAAATTTATAGGTGAAATCATAAAATGCCTAGGATTTGCTTCAACATACTTCAAGAGAGGAAAGAGCAGATGAAACAAGATTGATCTGGTTGTTGTTGAAGCTGGGTGGTGGGTGCATGGGGAATCATTCCACGATTCTCTCTACTGTTACACATGCTTAAAATTTTCTATGAGTTAAAAGAAAAAAAAAAGAATGATTCATTTCCTGGGTTCTATCTCTCCACACCCGAGATGCTTAAACGCGGAAGGGCTCTGACAGATTGGGAGAAGCACGGCTGTCTGTCCAATTTAAGAGTCTGCAGCCACAGGGGATTTCAAATGCACTCTGGGCTCCAAGGAATGAACTCTTTGCGGACTTCACAAAGACTAATTTTCACCCAAGGACATGCTGCATGTCCTTCACGTTGGGACACGGAAAGGTGATTCCTCGACAGTAGGGAGGACAGACGTAGGTGCAAGGGACGTTTTCACAGAACTGAGGGCTCTGCCGGTACTGGCAGGCAGTCACGGTAACGGTGCCACGGGCCGGAAGGCCCCTGGGGGCACTCGTGGAGGGCTGATGTCTCCGTGGCGGGGTTAGGTAGGTGGTGTGAAGGCTGCACGTGCAAGCTTGTCTCCCTGCATTTCCTCCATCAAACCCTTGTTCACCCCGCGTGCCGGCTGTCACGGCGACGAGAAGAGGCTGAAGTACGAGGGGCCTGAGAAAGATGTTACAAAATGAACTCGGTCTATATTTCAACGTTACTTTTTCCTTGGAGCAGGAGGGCACATTGCACTGGCGTTCCATCGCACTGGCCGTCATCGTGAAGACAAGGTTTCCTAGAAATCTGCAAGCAAGACAGGCCTCTGCCCTTCTTTCCGTCACCTCTATTAATTAGGAACGCTTTTACTTTCAAGAATGGAAGCCACTGCGTAAGTGGCTTAAACAAAAGAAGGGCTTTTTTCTTTCTTTCGTTGTAATTACACAGCAATACCTCCAAAGAGAGGTAGGGCCTGACTTATCCCAATGACTGGGTTGGCATCTCTGAGGTTCTCTCGGCCTTTGCCTCATGGGCATAACATAGCTGCATCAGCTCCAGGCATTGCCGTCTCGCACCACACTCAAAGGCAGTAAGCAGCAGGTAGCTTCTCAGACTCTCTTATCAGGAAGAAAACGTTTTTCCCAGAGGCTCCTTCGCCGACTTCCCCTTGGGTCTCACCGGCCAGAACACAGGGCCATGGTCAACTCTACTTACAGGGCAGCCTGGGAAAAGGAGCTAGGACTTCCCGGGGCCTCTTCCGGGGGAGGCGGGCAAGGGAGAGGGGCTGGGAGAGAGGCCGGGGCAGACCACCGGGCACCACCTTCGCTTTTCGTTTAAACGGGGCTTGGAATCCCTGCCTGCCTCGGAGAGAGAAGCCTAACCGCGCGCCCACGCCTGCTCGGCCTCGCGGGCATCCGTTCGGGACGGCTTGCGTCTGGCGGAAAACCCTGGCTTCCCTTCAGTCAGATAATCAGCACATGTTTACAGAGCAACCCCCCCCCCCCCCGCCCCCGGCCCGGCGCTGTGGGGACGCAGAGGTGGCCACACAGGCGGGCGGGACAGGCCGGAACCGGAACGTGTGGTGACGCCGCAGGGCCCGGGGGCAACAGGCGGCCGTGGGGCGGGGGGCGGGGAGGGGGAGATGGCGAGGCTGGCGGGGCCGGGCCGAGAGGTGAGGCCCTGAGGGCGCCCGTCGCGGGCCCCGAACCCGGGGACCGTGCGAGAGGCCCGGGCGCGGGAGCGGCCAGGCTCACTGGCGTCGGTCCTCCGCTCACCTGACCGTCACCCCAGCCGCCCAGGCGGGCTCCCCAGCCGGCCCCGCGGGAACCTACCCAGGGTCCGGGCCAGCTCCCACCCTGCCCTCTGCCGCCTTCTGGCCTCTGGCGCCAGGCGCGCCCCGCCCACCGGGGGTCACGTGACGCGGCCTAGCCAATCGCCAGGCCCCGCTGCCCCGCGGCCGGGTCCGCGCGGCCCTGCGACGGGAACCACTCGCAGGAAACCAAGATGGAGCGGGCTTCTCGGTGCGTCCTGCCCGCTCGGCGCCTTCGCGGTCAAGGCTAGCACGCTGCTCCTTGCTGAGACTGGCTAGGGTGGGTTTCTAGCACTTGCTAACTGAAGGTGTGCCCAAGAGGCCGCCCTGTTTTACCTGTGAGGCCAGTTGGGGGAAGGCCTTGAATGCCGGGTGGCGGCTTGACGGGGGACGTCGAGCCGCGGAATGCCGCGTGTGGAGCAGGGATTTGGTGTTCGTGTGGTTTCATCCTACACGTGTGTCAACTCCATACCTACTGCAGGCGTGTGCCCGCTGAAGACTGCGCAACGATTCCCAGACTGGGTTCCCTGGAACACTCAGTGTACCAAGGGGGAATGAGGAACCCTGTGCCTTTTTTTTTTACTGGAAAATGGGAAAGGAACAGGACTTAAGAGAGGAGGCTACGGCGATGTTCTGAGTGAACCGCACGGCGTCACCAGGATGTACCCGTGTGCCTGTGGGCTGACTTCGGGCTTACAGCTGGTAGCCTCCATCAGTGTACCTGTGCTTCATCTCCGGAAAAGGCAAATCAGAAGGAAACACATGTGCGCATGTGACATGTCCTAAAGAACAGGACGGAAATGGATGCTCCCGTCAACCAGGACACGAGACCAGCACTGAATGGCGGGGGCAGTGTCCCTCCTGCAGCAGATCTGAGTAAGGAGAAGACTGCAGCAGCAGGAGCCAGGATGTGTGTGTGCCAGGGTGTCTGGGGCCTTGCTCCGTCTGTCCACGCGGAGGAGCGCCCAGTACCCGCGGGTGGAGTCTGGCCGGGCCGGCCCTTGTCCCTGCCGCATGACCTCCTCCATGGCCAGCTTGGTCCCCTCACTTCCCTCAGGTCTCGCACTCTCGCACTCGGGTTGGCCCTGCACTGCTTACCAGTTCCAGCGTCCTCCCTACCCTCACAGGCCCCACTCCAAACCCCCTTCCTCCAAGAAGCCGGTGAGCAGTGTCTGTAGTGCTTGCTCGCTGCCGCAGGACACTGTGTGTGCGGGGTACGGAGTGTGCACTGGGCTATTTCTGGCAAGTGATTAAGCCCCAAAGAGCACAACATAAGGAGAGTCCTGATATCTGAATCCACGGTCATAGTGGCACTGGGCTGTTTTCATGAAGGGCTTTGAGAAGTTCTGGGGACAAGCAGAGGTGGCATAGAGGGACAGCCCGGTCTCAGCCATTCTCCCACCCCAGCCCATCCCTGCTCTGATACCTCAGGGCCTGGGAAGCAGGGCTGTTGACGGTACTTTCGTGGAGGGCAGCCTGACAGGAAGCCCACAGAGTCCCAGCAGGCAGGCTGCGGGATGTGAGCTCCATAGAGACCCCTCCCACACGGTTTCCTGCACGCGGCGGGGTATCAGGGAGGGGCTGAGCTCCCCCTTTGCAAAGTGGGGCCCTGGACTTCGGAGATGCGAGGATTTAGGGAAACGTGCTCATTTACGCTCAGGCAGTGGCTCCTGGGCCTTAGGGGTCTGCCTTATGGGAATGTGAGCTCTTTGGGGGTCACCTGGCCTCATCCATACCTGAGCACTGTTGGTCAGCTAACTCTGGCCTGGCTCTGCCAAGAACCCCCACCGAGAACAGCAAGGCGAGATGCCCAGGAAGCCAGGAAAGCAAGGTACCGAGGGCAGGGATGACGGCAGAGTCCGCGGGGACGTGGACAGTGCAAGTTCTACGTAAAAGGGGGGAAGCTGCCAGCTGTTACCCGGCAGGAATGTCGGTTCACGAATGCCAGGTTTTCCCAAATTTCTCTTCAGGAAATAGAAATCCAGAGTGTTACGTGAAATCTGATTTTAAAATGTAAGTGTTGGCAGCTGTGGAGTATTGTCCACCTACATATTCGGATCCGTTCTGTGCCTGGCTCCCTCCTGGGAGGGGGACTCTTGAGGACAGCACCTCACCACCCCAGGTTCCACTTGTGTTTGGCCAGTGGGCAGCACAAGTAGGTCAGAGGTTGAAAGCTGGGAGGTCAGGATACTTAACCCCCTAGTTCCAAGCCAGGCTGAACCCTCGACCCCCCAGCCCCCTCCTACCCACATACACCGGGGCCGTGGTTGGGCAGTGGCTCCATCCCTCTGCGCACTGCCACAGCTCCTGCGTGGTGCTCCCTCCCAGGCCATAGCTCTTCTGGTCTGGGACCCCTCTATCCCAGGCGCAGGGGGGTAACGGCTCCCCTATTTCTAGTCTCCGTGCTGCCCTGTCTTTTGTTGATTCTCTTCATCCGGCCCAGTGGGCGCCTGTGTAAACAGTCCCTTTATTCCGAGTTCCCCTCAGTTAACCTTTTGAATGTGCTCTCCTTTTCCTGCTGGGAGCCGCCAATATACAGACTAACCCAATTAGAAAACGACACTGAGGTCCCAGCACACCTGGACCGGCATCCCGATCCCGCTGGAGGGGCCGGGCTTGCCGCCCCTGCCGTCCGCAGCGGCACGGGCCAGGCAGCGGCTGCAGCTGAAACCGCCGCAGGACAGCGCAGCGCTGGGGACGGCAGGGAACCCGTGCTGAAACTGAGGAGGCAGTTCAGGGACAGGAAAAGCCTTGAAATGCGGCGAGCCAGTTTAATGACTGACAAACCACGCGACAGCAAACTACGGAGCGCCAGGGACTCAGAGGCACGGAGGCCCCGGGGGAAACACTACCACACTGTCACAGGGAAAACGGGGTCACCTACGTACATATGGGGTAAGGGAAGGCCCACTGGCTGCTCAGATCTATGACATTTCTCAGGGAACATGCACCCCACCCCCAAAGCAGCGGGAAGCCGGCCACCTTCACTCCCGAACGTAAATCCTCGTGCAGACCACGTCGTCGGCGCCAAACGTCTGCAGAAAAGAAGGAAAAGCCATCAGAGCAGATGCCTGTGCGAAACCGTTTAAAGCATATCGCTAATAAGGCCGCATACTGCCCTGTTAAAAACTCTTTGTAACAGACATTCAATTTCCTGTGCCATGTGCTCTTGCTAACTGCTAAGGTCTTTTTTTCCCCTTTTTTTTTCTTCCTTAAGCTCCATGCCGGCAGAGAGGCAGCTGGGGTGTAGAATTATATGCAATTTTCCTTTGTTTCTGGAGCCTGTGAATGCTGACTTAAGAATGTTTTGGTTTTAAAAATTAAACTGAAAGGGGGGAGAAGTCACACTGGATGTTTCAGAGGTGGCTCCGTCTCTTCTCAGGAGAGCAAGCGGCCTGGGCAGCTGGAGCCAAGGCCGGGGGTGTGGGGGGGACAGCCAGACGGAACAGTATTGGAGAGTATGAAGAAGCTTCCAGCAAGTGGCTGCCCGCACTCAGTGACCTGCGAGCTGACAACCGGTCTGAGCCGCAAAGACACAGCACCGGCTTCCAGACCCAGCTCTGCAGCGCAGGGCGGGGCATGCGGGGCACGGCACGCATGCCCCTGCCTCCCTTGCTGGTTCGGAGTGGAAGGGAGGGGTGAATAGAACAAGATGATCCGAAAGGCTCTTTCCAGCTAAAATTCTATGGCTCTTTGTTTGTTTATCTGTTTGTTATAGAGAGGGCACGAATCATTCCCCAGACGGAGAAGATTTTTCTTCTGACCCGAGACGGTATCGCCCATAAGTAAGCTATCTTAACTCTCCCCCACACTAGCAGTTATTCACAGGCCTGCTTCCTGGGCTCTCACAAGCAGTTGGAATGGAAAGCAGTACGTTTGTTTAACAAACAAAACCAAAAAACAAAAATTCTCCAGTCTGAAGACCTAACGTGGGCATGTCTGCAGATGTACACCTTTCTGGGTGGGGGGTCCCTATCTCTCAGGTTCTCAGAGAGGCCTGAGGCCCCAGAGAGGCCGAGGACCTTCGGGTCTTGCCTGGGCCCATCTCGGGGAACACATGCTAAGACATTATCCCCACGTGTTTCAGAGAAACAGCAGTTATGAGTGACACTAAGGAAGCAAATGCCCATCACCAACTTCTTTCCCGAGTAGGGGCACCTGGTCACACAGGCACAGCTGTCCCTGCTCTGGACACTTTCTCCGTCTGCAGACAGTTCTGTCCGGGGAAGGAGGGCAGAGGTCCCACTGAAATTCACCTCTAGATGTGCCAACCTTTCAGCTCTACGGCCATGGCACGTTTGGGGGTCTGACTCTGTCCATGTCTGTAACCACCCTAGTATCTGACACCTCACCCAGGCCAACAAGGGGCCTCATGATGCAAGAAGAAAATCCCATTTCCAACCACATCTGGGAAGTCCTCAGCCTGCAGCCATGTTGAAAGGTTGCTGAAAGAAACTCTAGAATGTTCCAGAGTGGTTTTAGGGAAGATACTGTTTCACAGAAGGCAGCTTACACCCCCAGGGGACAATTTACTGTTGGCACTGGGAAAGCTTATTTCAACTTAACTAGGATAATTTGCCTCTTGTTAAAGAGACAGCATCTCCCTGCATTTTGGTTTATTAATGATAACAAGCCTTGAAACAAAAGCCCATATTTCAGGTCTCAGATGCCAAGAATTCATGCTCCCTCTGAGGCTCATGCTCGTCTGCTGAGCCAGAGAAGGCCGCAGAGGAGAGGGGCGGGGGTGGGGGTGCTGGAGTCCTTCCAGCAGACCGTGCATGCGGTGTTCTGGCCGCTTGGATGTTACAAGGTCAATAAAATCACGCTGTCTTGTGCAGCAAGCCGACCCTCAGCCGTGCTCCAGAACTCGGAGATCTTTGCTGACTCTGGTACCAATGAACCTTTTGTGCCTTTTTCTCCTAATGCCCATGTGCCAGGCTCAGATCGCTGCCCCCAACCCCATCAAGTGTTCCTTCCCTGGAAACAGCATTAACCAGGTTACAAAGGAAGCCAGTACCTGCTCTATAAAATAGCAGACATGGGATTAACATGCAATTTCAGGGCTGAGAGCAACCCCAGGGGTCACATGTTAGTGTAAGGCCTCATTCTACAGCTTGGGAAGGGAAGGACCACACCCAGGTCACACAGGGTGGCTGTCCCACTCTGCTGGCTCCTTACCCAACACTGCAGGGTGATAGTCACTAAGATGGGGCAGGCGATCTGTCTTAGAGGGAAGATGGTAACAATATGCCTGATGGAGAACAAAGGATATCATTTCCTTTTTGTTTGAATGGGGGGGGCGGTGACGGTGGGGGAGTGGAATTGTTTCGGGGAAAGCTTGGTCTTTTCTGAAACATAAAGGGACAGTGACATGAACTTTGCCCTGTCCTCCCTGTCTTCCTTTGCCCCGACACCAAAAATAAAGGAGGAGGAGGTGTGTGATTAAACTGTGGGGGTTTCTAACTTGGCCTCACCAGGTACGTTTTGTGTGGCCAAGAATGTTTAAAATGTTTTAATCTGAATACCTTTAAGATAGAGCCCACCCTTTCTAGTTCTAAAGGACCCCCCCACCTCCACACCACATTCCACTTACACTTGGACACTCCCTGAATTAGCCTGACGTGCGGGGCTCCCCGAGGCCAATGCAGGTGCTAAGTCTAAGTCTAGGGGTAAAAATGCTCTCTAAGGCTCCCAGTGCTAGTGCTACAATTCCTGAAATCTTTCCCTGGCATCAAAATGGGGAATGAAGAGGGGGAAGAAAAACACTCTTCTGCAGAGTGAAATACCCGGCGAGCTCCCAGAGCCCAAGCACTCTGGCTCGGAGAGAGCCACCACGTCGCCATGGGGATGCGCAGGGTGGCCGCTGCGCTCGCAGCAGCCCTGCGCTGCCCCCAGCCGCGCTCCTCCCACCACATAACGATGATTTCCTCTGACTTAAACTGTCACCTCAGGCTTTCCGCTCACATGTGAACCCAGGGCACCTCCTTCTCGGGTGAAGGAGGACGGCTTTCTCACAGCCTAGGGTGGGCATCATCTGGGGACTGGGAGCTCGCTCTAGGGCCCAAGCGCCTCACCAGGATGAGCTCGTCGTTGGCCAGCTCGCGGGTCCAGTAGGTTTTCGGGCCGTCCCCCTCGAGGAGAGTTTGCGTGCAGTAGATCTTGTTCTCATTCTCCCAAGTGGCTAAACTCTGCGGGCGGGAAAACCGTTAGTGACATTAATTATGGTCCTGGCAGCGGGAGCAGAGACAACAATGAACACCAGAGTCGCCGCGGTGAAGAGAAGCAACACATGGTCCCTATCGGCAGGGGCACAGAGCCCTGCACTGCACCCGGTGGAGTCCGGATCCAGAGGGCTGGCCACGGATCTCCTGGGGTATAAAAATACCTTGTATTCCACACCCACGCGAGCGCGTGCACGCGCGCACACGCACACACAGTCCGAACCGTGCTTTCCATCTCCAGGAATAACATGAGAGCACGGAGGGATTCATTTATGTCAAAACGGACTAGCCCTTCAACCAACTGGGATATTAACGACGAGAACTTGCACATCAGGACTATAAAATTTTAGAAGCGATGAGACACCATATTTAAACCACACCCAGCGTGAGCAGGTCGGGAGCCCTCTTCCCTGCAGCTTCTGGAACGACATCTTCTTTTCTGTCTGCACTCATCAGAGGCAGCACACAGACCGCTCTGCTAAACCACTCTCCAGGTTACCTCCCTCTAGGAACATTAAATCACGTGGGAGGTTAAAGGGGGATGCCCGGCAGTCTCCCCAGGTCTGCACAAAGCAAAGTGCTCTACAGCTGGGATGGGGGGGACACAATGTGCACATACTCACTTTCTAACTCGAACGTGGGGAACAAAAAGCCCCACTTTCCAGGCTGTCGCGGGAGCCTTTGATTTTTTTATCAGAATCTGGCAGTAGCCACCAGTGGATGTCCCCAACTGAGCCCTGACGACTGCCAGGCCTTCTCCCGGGGACTCCCAGACCTTCACTCTTACTATGCCCACACACTCTTTTGTTTTTTACAAACAGTGCAGTGACCAGAGGCTCAGGTCCTGCCAGCTCCTTGCCCAGACATCGCTTTCTGGCCACGCCAATTCTGGGGGCCAAATGTGTCCTGTGGGTTACCTCCTGGGGGCTGTGTCTCTGTGTCCTTCTCCCAACCCAATGCCCAGGTAGTCCCACTCAGGAAAGGTGAAAATCAATTTCTCACCTTCTCCAATGTATTAGTTTTCCTTCCCCGCCCCCCCCCACTGGAATAGGAGGGAGACATTTTTCACTTTTTAAAGAAGTGGTAGCAGCGACTTTTTTTCCCATCTCTCCTCCCACTCTATCCCAGAGATCAATCAAATGCAATTTTTGCCCATCTGAAAAAAGGAATGTACAACCGCTCGCTTCGGTCCACTGGTTCATCCCTGGGTCCAATATACCTAGAAATACAAAAGTCTTGCCCTGGAGGACTAAGAAGGCGCTTCTCCCCGCCTGAGTCTGCCTTGCTTTTGGGAGGATCCCGCCTTTCCTTTAAGAAAGCAGGCTGGAAGGAGGGGTGCTGCCCCACAAGACCGCCGAGGCTGGATCCGGAGCGTCCCCTGGGGCCCGGGGACCCGGGGGCAGGATGCGAGCGCTGCCGCTCCACCTGCTACCGGAGACGTGGCGGCGGCGCACCCAGCCCCGCGGCCCCTGCAGCCGCCTCTGCGCCGGCTCCCGGCGCGACCCGCACCCGCACCCGCACCCGCGCCCGCACCCGCCGCGGACGCCGCCGCCCGGGATCCGTGAGCGCGGCAGGGCAGGCCCCGGGGTGGGGAGGGGTGGGGACCGACCCTCTCCGAGCCCGGGGCAGCCCGCGCGCACAAACCCCCCCTGCAGACCGCCGGTGCGCGCGCTGCAAGGGAGGCGCGCCACAGGTTGCGCGGCCGGGTCGGGGGGCCGGGGCCGGGGCCGGGGCCGGGGCCGGGCGGGGGGGGGGAGGGGGCCGGCGGCGGATCCGGGAAGGCCGCCGGCTCCCGGGCCTCACCCTGCACTTGCGTCCGTCCACAGTCTCCTCCTCGAAGCCTTCTCCGACCTTGAAGTTGATCTCGGTGGTGCGCACGGTGGTGGAAGTCTTGATGTAGAACTGATCCCCGTCCTGGCGGATCTCCACGTGCGGCTTGGACGCGGCCGCCACCGCCACCTTCCGCAGCATGGCGTTCACACCTGCGCGGGGAGACAGGGCTGCGCCGCGGGCTCGGGACCCAGGCCCGGCCCGGCCCCTCCCAAACCCTCTAACCACCCCTCCCCCACCCCTCGCCCAGATTTCCGAGATGGGAAACTGAGGCTCAGGGAGGGGACGCGGCTTTCCCCGAGCAGCACGGTGAATTGGTGGCAGGGCCTGGCCTCACACCGAGTCTCCCAATTTAAAGTCCCTGACCCCCCACCCCCACTCCCTAGGCCTCCGGCGAGGGTCTCCCAGTGCGCGGATCCGGCACGAGACGAGGCCGAACCGTCGGGAAAGGCGCCCAGCCTCCAGCGCTGGTTCGCGGAGCGCGCGGCTCCCGGGGTGCCCTCGCCGCTCCCCGAGCCCTCGCCCCGGGGGCTCCCTGCTGCCCGGGCCGGTCCCAGAGCCAGCCCCCGCGGGCCCGGGACCCCTCGCGGCCTCTCCCGCCCCCAGGCGCGCACCGGCCGCGCCCGCGTACCCAGCGCCTTGAGCAGCTCGTCGAAATTCTCGCTGCTGCGCATCTTCCAGGTGCCGGCGAAGTTGGGCATGGCGCGGCTGCGGCTGCGGGCTGCGGGCGCGGACGGCGCGGCGGGCTCGGCTGCAGGGCGGAGACTGACGCGCGGCGCCCGGCCCGCGCGCCCGGAGTCCCGGGGAGGGCGCCCCCCGCCCCCGCCCCGCCCCCGGCCCGCCCCCGGCCCCGCCCCCGCCCCCGGCTCCCGGGCCGCGGGGCCTCCCGCAGCGGTGGGCACCCGGGTCGCGGTGCTGCGCGCCCGGCGCCCGCTCTCCTGCAGCTGGGGGTGGGCACGGGGGCGCGTCAGATGGTACAGCCCTGGCCCCGGAGCGGACAGTCGCCGCAGCTGGGTCGTGGGGACGTGGGGAAGCATTGCATCATCCCCTCTACTTTTCTGCATGTCTGAGGATAACCCTAAAATAGAGTTGAAATAAAGTGGGTGGTGGGGCTGTCAGGGTTGGGAGCCGTGCCCTCCCCACTCCCGGTCATGCCTTCGGGGTATGCGCTCCAGTGCGGGATCCTGTTCTGCACCCCAGACACACACAGTGGCGCGGGACCAATGGGAGCGAGTGGTGGGTAAGGCCCAGCCGCACGACCACGGCCAGGGCCCTGCTGGGAACCCAGGGTCGCGCGGGGTTGCGGGTCCTCGGCGCGCCCAGGGCATGGACTGGGTCCCCAGGGCTGGACAGAATGCGCTCCTGAGCCCTGGGCAGGAGCAGGCTGTCCTGCCCAGAGTGTGGCTCTGCACTCTACGAAGGAAGTCCCCCTTCTCCCTTTGCTCCCAAATATGCACCATGCTTCAGTCCCCGTTAGTGTGGCCATTAAGAGGGTACAGACGCTTCACCGTCACCCTGTGAGCCTCCACGGCTGACCCCCAGCTTTCCTTTCGGTCTGTGTCCACTGCTCCGTCATCCCTGTGCCTTAGCCAGGCCGCACAACTAGGATTCTAGAAGCAGCTATGCATCTTCCCACATGCGAGACTCTGCCCACACTGCACCCTCCCCCCAAAATGCCCTTTCCCTCTCCAGGTTACTAAAATCTTGCCGGTTCACCAAAGTCCGTCTTCATGCCGTCTCTTTTGTGATATTCAGTTTCCCAATCAGATATGATGATTTTTCTCTCAACCCACAGGATCCTTGTTCAGTTTCATTCTTGTTCAAGTGTTCATCCTGCGGGAAACAGCCCCTACAGTGTTCATCAGCCTGTCTTCTCTTGCTCAAGCTCAGCCGGGTGGGGTTCCATAAATAAGCACTGACTGGAGGAGGGTATGTGTTATATGGCCCTGAGGAAGTGGGGAGAGGGCCCCCGGGGGCTGCAGGAATCTATGCTCACTGCCTGCTGAACAGGCTCTGGACGTCTGGAGGTGGCCGGGGATGGGGTTCCTGCCCTGAGGCCCTGCAGAGCTGTCTTAGAAACGCACTGAGGGTAAGAGACGGGAGAGAGACCATTCCTGGCTGGCAAGAGATGTGGGCAGGGCTGGCCTTACTGGTGTGAGGTGTGTGCAATCGCACAGGCCCCCCTGCTTAGAGGGGCCTGGTGCTGGATTCAGTGCTCTGCAATTGCCATCTTGAAATTCTGAATCATTTTTGGACACTGTATCCTGCATTTTTATTTTGCAGTGGGATCCACAAATTATGTAGCTGATCCTGAGTGTGGGAGGCAGAGGATACGGCTGCTACAGAATCAAACTCACTTCACAGAGGCTCTGGTGTCTCTATCGTGAGGGGGCCAAACAGGGATGCCACCCAGCTAATGCAAGCCCCCCCATCCAACACTACTCCCCAGCAAGGCTGCTGACATCTTTTTATTTTTTTTTATTTTTTATTATTTCTAGGAGAGAGAGAGTGAGACAGCGTGAGCAGGGGAGGGTCAGAGAGAGAGGGAGTCACAGACTGAAACAGGCTCCAGGCTCTGAGCTGGCAGTCAGCACAGAGCCCGACGCGGGGCTCGAACCCACGAACCGCGAGATCATGACCTAAGCGAAAGTCGGACGCTCAACCGACTAAGCCACCCAGGCGCCCGTGCTGACATCTTTTTCTAAAACCAACTAAGCCACCCAGGCGCCCGTGCTGACATCTTTTTCTAAAATATATTTTTAGGGGCGCCTGGGTGGCTTAGTCGGTTGAGCGTCCGACTTTCGCTTAGGTCATGATCTCGCGGTTCGTGGGTTCGAGCCCCGCGTCGGGCTCTGTGCTGACTGCCAGCTCAGAGCCTGCAGCCTGTTTCAGAGTCTGTGACTCCCTCTCTCTCTGACCCTCCCCTGCTCACGCTGTCTCACTCTCTCTCTCCAAGAAATAAATAAAAAACATTTAAAAATATATATATATATTTTTAAAGTTTGTTTGTTTGTTTATTTTTATTTAGAGAGAGCACGTGAGCAGGGGAGGGGCAGAGAAAGAAAAGGGAGAGAGAGAGAGAGAGAGAGAGAGAGAGAACCTCAAGCAGGCTCCATGCTGTCAACACAGAGCCCGACGCAGGGCTCAAACCCACAAACAGTGAGATCGTGACCTGAACCAAGATCAAGAGTTGGACGCTCAACTGACTGAGCCACCCAGGCACCCTACCATCTTTTTTCAATGTTTATTTATTTATTTTGAGAGAGGAGAGCATACACAGCAGGGGAGGGGCAGAGAGAGAGGGAAAGAGAGAATCCCAACTCCAGCTCAGGTCGTGATCTCCTGGTTCATGGGTTCGAGCCCCGCGTCGGGCCCTGTGCTGACAGCTCGGAGCCTGGAGCCTGCTTTGGATTCTGTGTCTCCCTCTCTTTCTGCCCCTCCCCCACCTCTCAAAAATAAATAAATATTAAAAAAAAAAAAACCAGAATCAGATGGTCAACTGACTGAGCCACCCAGGTGCCCCTAGGCTTCTGACATCTTAAGACCAGGGCTGGGGATGGGCTGCGGAGGGGCTGGGGGGCAGCAGAGTTGGGAGTCAGGACGGTAGGGAAAGCCCCTGAGGGTGGTCAGGGCCGTGGGTGAGGTGTGCACGAGCCTGGAAGGACTTACCGCAGAGGCCGTGAGTAGGCGAAGGGGGGAGGAGAAGGGGGGAGGAGGTCGTGGCGAAAGAATAGGGGAGGGGGCCGGGGGGCAGGGGGAGGGTTGCACCCTCCAGCTGGGGCTGCAGAGTCGGGAAGACAATGGTGCATCGTCCAGGCACCAAGGACGGGAGCAGGTCCGGGAGTCGGGAGGGCAGAGCCAGCTGAGCTTCTGGGTGAAGGGCTCCCGAGTCCCTGTGAGCCTACGGTGCTTAGTCGTCACGTTTGGAGGTGGCCAGGACACACTGGAGGGGCTAGGACTTCTTAGGAGCCCAAACCCCATCAGGGGCCACGGGGAGGCTCCTGTCACTGGGCCTGGGGAGCCCGGAGTGAAGAGGGCAGGGAGAGCGCCGTGGTGCCTCTGTGGACCTGGCCTCAGGACCCGCTCATGTCCCCCTGGGTGGGGAGCCAGCTCGCGGCCGGGGCCTCGCCGCAGGCTGGCGGGGTCTCCCCGTGCCGTCCCTCGTTCCTTCTCTGGCTTCCCTCTTCTGTTCGCTGCCTCTTGCCAACCGCCTCTCCGAGCTGGGAGCTGGGCTCAGATCTGGGAGTAGTGACCGCTGAAGATCCGGGTCCTGTCTGAGGGCCCCAATGTTTACCTGGGGGAGGGGTCCCAAACCTTGTGTGATCACCGCGTGGGCTGATGGTGCCCCAGAGGCAGGCGGGCACCCTGGTTTGGGGCAGGACGAAGGGCCCACCCACGGCCGTGATCAGAAAGAACCACGGGTGTTGAGGCAGGAGCCGTGAAACAGTGCGTGAGTTTGGGAGGCCACGTGTGGCCCTGCGTGGCCGGAGCGCGTAGTCTGAAGGGGGCGAGGCGGGGGCGACAGGAGGTGAGCGGAAGCCCAGGGGCCACAAAGCAGCGTTCCCAGGGTGAAGGCCCGTGGAAGGGTTTGAGCCGAGGAGAGCTGCGGTCCCGTTGCCTGTTCGTGGAGCTGCCCCAGCCTGTGTCCAGGGTGCACGGGAGGTGCCAGGCCGCGGGGCACTGAACGCCAGCGCAGCCAGCCGTGGTGCGGTCGGCGAAGGAGGCGGGAAGGGGTGGCAGAGCGAACAGTGTTGTCAACACCAGGTATCACAACAACTTGGGAGAGCCTTCTAGAAATTCAGGCTCCGGAATTCTCCCCTGGAGAGCTGGATTCAGTAAGTCCGGGGGGGTGCCCAGGAAGCTGTGTTTGGCAAGCCTTCCAGGTAATTCTTCTGGAGAGCCTGGTGGGCCCTGCACCGTTGCGTGACCGGCGGCACCTGGCCGGCGAGGGGAGGTGGGGACAAGAGCCCAAGGTGACTCTCGCTTTCTAGATTGTGCACTGGTGCCTCATCTGCCGCCACGGGGAGCTCCGGGGCCCGAGATGAGGTCTGTTCGGGATGAGTTGGGTCCGAGTTGTCCGAGGCACCTAGGACCCCGTGGGCAGTGCGGTCCGGGAGTTCAGGGGAGAGTCCGAGCTGAGCCGGGGTGTGGGGGTCATCCGTGACCCCCGGTGAGGACAGGAGTGCACGCGAGATGCCGGGGGGGGGGCAGGCAGCTTGAGAAGAGCAAAGGCTGGGAAAGAGGCTCTTAGCGCTTGGGGGCAGAGGGAGCAGGGGGGCCACGGAAGCAGGGGTGAAGCCAGCGCGTGACGTGCCAGCGGCCGGGGCACCGCGCGTGACGTCCTAGCGGCTGACAGCCAGTGGTTCAGTCTTCTGTGAGAGGAGGGATGCGCCCACAGAACCATCGGCTCCGAGAGGTTCCTGGAGACAAGGGCCACCACGTGTCCCCTAGAGCGAGCAGCCAGGCGGTCTTGGTGGCTGGGGCCGAGCCGTTCCTGTAGCCGGGCGGGGTCTGAGGGAGGGCCGCGGGGGCTTGAGTCCAGGGTGGAGAGAGGGAGACTGGAAGCAGAGAAAGCAGGGTTGTACAGGTGAGGGGGGGAGAGGAGGCTATGCGGGCAGGCAGCATCCGAGGACAAGCTGGGGGTTCTTTGCATGTTGGGTGGAAGAGGCTGGCTGTTTACAGTCTCCAAAGGCAGAGACCAGAGGGAAGCTGGGAGAGGCCGGAGCCGTGGAACAGAGACACAGGACACAG